TTGTTTCAGTGGATAAAAAAGTGCCATTCCGTGCTCCAGGCCGGGAATTTCGTTACATGCTTATACATCTAACCCCTGGATTGGATCACAAAAAGTACAAAAATATCATCTTTTTTAAATAGAATACTTTAAAAACTATGAACAACCTACCAAGTTTGGTAAAGCGTAGGAATTATGAAGATTCGGAAAGTAAATGGCTGTTGATAACAGATGCTGAGGAATCAGAGTCAACAGACTTTTTACAGTCGGGAATAGAAAACACTGACAAAACAAAGCCCGAAAACAATCACCCCACTTCATATTCGTCTAGTCATGACCAAATAGAGRAGAAAATCAGCGAATTAAGTTCACCCAACACTGCAGAAACTGGCGGAAACTCATCCCCAAAACAGACCCAAGGGGAAGGGGGTGAATCATCGACAGCCGCTACAACAAGACGAAATGCCATTTGTGATGTCATTGAGAAACATACTTACTCCAATTCTGGAAAAAAGAGTTTAAGRAAAGACCGTGAGGACTTGCTCCGCGTAATTGCATTATCGAATTACTCTTTGCTATAGAGGCAGCCATTTTCTGTTAGTTAACTAAGTGTGACGTTTCGTGAAGTTTTCCTGATCGGTGTCTTCACTTTATTTAATACATTCTCGTTTTCGTTCGCTTTTGTTAAATTCTTTGTATCTTCCGGCTGAATTTTTTTTATCTCTGAGAGGTCCTGAACAAGGAATCGCAGTCAATCAGGAAAACAAAGCCTTCTTTCACTATATCAATTGATACGGAAAGGTCCAGCCGTTACGGGAACGTGGGAGACTACTTTGTTTAGTTTTTGACTGCTTGAAAGAAACTGAAACAATTGCATGTAATTACAGTGTAATCACATCATATTCAATTATATTTATTGAAATGAGGCATTGAAATTTTGGTCCTACCATTTTTGTAGCTTGTCCCAGACCCTATCTATTTCGTTGAAAGAAAAATGGAAAGAAACCAGTGCGCATTCTAGTTTTACAAAAAGCTGCGTATTTCGAAAATAAAAAGTTCAATTAAGTTGCTAAGCTTTGCGCCGGATTCAGGCGTTGGCTATATTCTTACAGACCTTACAGTTTCGGTGCTCTTTTAAAAATCTCATAATAAAACCCTTTTTTATTCCCAGTCCTTTTGACTATTTACTACAGGGCACTAGGAAATGCATGAAATAAAAATAATAGAAAATTGTAGTGCTGGGAAAGGAGTTTATACTAATGAAGACCTAGAGGTAAGACGAGTGGATTTGATGACCTTTGTCAGGAAAAAAACCTTGGCAAATGCAAATCAACCCATATATAGAGTGGGTCATCATTCACTGTACTGTCTGTCTGAGTCGGGTCGATCGTGTGCAAAATGGCGGACGAAACAGGAATTGAGTTTAAGATGAAACGTAAAGACCGCGTGAACAGGAAAATGTGTATAGTTWTTGGAGTGATTGTCACAGCTGGTAAGTGTGCTTTGGTAGAATTTGTCGACTTATGAGTCAACTATGGTGTGCTAGATTGTACATCAAGCATCATCTAGAAGGACTTGATCGAGCCATAGTTTAGTAGAGTACTTGCTATGATCGAGCTTATCCAAAAACGAAACCACAGGGGACCCCAGTACCTAAACGTAAGCCTTTTTTAGAAAGCAAATCCACAAATCGTAGTCTTTGTTTGYCCTTCCTACTGATTAAAAATCGGGATTGAATACTTTCTTTGATTCCTTTTTTCAGTTGCGCTTGTTTGGAAATATCACTGTGGCAGGGTTCATTTACAGCAGGCGATGAAAATATCCTATTTATTGAATTATAATAATATAATTACTTCATCATTTTAATTTCCTCCAGTCGTAATCGTCGGAGGTTTTTTACTGGAAAAGTTTCTACGACAAGAACCCGCCAATAGGGAATGCTTTCAGGTGAAAAAGGTCGGACCATGCCATGCAGCTATACCAAGATATTACTACAACACACAATCATGGCAGTGCGAGAGGTTTAGTTATGGTGGCTGTGGTGCAAACAAAAATAACTTTAAAACACTTGAAGGTTGTAAAATAAAATGTCGTCCAGGATAATCGTGAACGTGAAGTACTTTTTCAAGAATCAGATCAGCAAACGTTAGCTAGTTGTCATAGATTTTTGCCTCGAGAGTCAACAACACGTGTACGCTGAAATAGGAATTTATGTACAATTTTAGAAGCATCACATACCAATTGACGAAAATAAAAAAAGCAAGATAAGTACAGGGTGTTTATTTGGTTTTAAAATATGTAATTTTTAAATGGCAAAATGGCGCAAAATCTAGTGCTATTCTCAATGGACCCTTTATATATAGACAGAGGAAAGTCTAGAATAGGGTCACTGTGTCGCACTGTGCAAATGTTTGAGCAACACAATCATAAATGAAGAGAAACCGGATCTGAACTGCATGAGGAAATACCAGACATACCAGTGCTCTGTTTCGTTGGGCTACCTGTGTTGCCCTTGCCTCGATCTTGTGTTGTTCGAAAACAAGTCAACATGGCGGATGGATAAGAGAAAATGGCTAACCAAGGCGGCTTTGCGGGCAGTACACAAGCAAGCCCGCTTCTAAGCAGCAATAGAAAGCTCTACAATACAGACAAAAGCTCTTTTTCAGCGAGTTATGAATCACCTAAGAGTTATGGCTCAACAACGAAACCGGTTCGAAGCGAAGTCGATACGAAAATTGTTGGTCATGTGGTGGAGMRCTTAGACACTCTTCAAGGTTTATCGATAAAGTATGGTGTTCCGGTAGGTGTTGAAACATTCCATAGCATCATAAGCCATATCAGGAATGAATAAGTAAAGAAWACGTGTATGATAACATAGATGAAGTTGGATGTAAGTTATTATACCTACGAAAGTCGAGCTTATAGCGTTAAAAAGTGTTAGAAATGTTGGGTATTTAAGCTTACTAACAAGAAAATTATTTCATTCAGTTACCTTAAAATTTCCATCACGAACTTTAGAAAAATAAATATTAGAAAAGCTAATAACAAATTTTCTATCGCAACTACTYTTTGAATATTTAGGATTACTATTTAACATGAATTTACGTAATAATTTCTATTATCAGCTGATTTGTATTCTCAACTCTARATTATTCTGGTAGTGTGTGGTTTTCAATAGCTTACATTATTCATTGTTATTAAATCAGTGCAAGCTTATTATAAAACCGAAAATCTTTATCATTTGTTTGAAAAWATATATATATATATTGCAGTTTTAAATGCTATGAAGGATCACACTTTGTTAAATATATTACCTCAATACTTCTCTTTCATACAACATCCCTTTTTGATTTCTAATTGTCATTTCYAGGTCGAAGACATCAGGAGAGTAAATAAGCTATGGACAAATGACAATATTCATTTTTATAAAATAATCAAAATACCTGTACGRACGGAATCCAAGTTTGCTGACTTAGACGATAGTGACCCAGAATGTGATATGAATCACACTGAAGACAATACAACAACTGAAACAGTCAAGGAAGAAACTTCTGAAAACTCTACCATTGAATCTGCTCCTGCAGATTCTGTTCAAAGTTTCTTAAATAAACTTGATGTGGCAATAAAGAAGGATACCAAAGAATCAAAAAAACTTAGGTAAGATATACCTTGCCACAACAACAACAACAACAGCAACAACAACAACAGCAGTAATTTTTTTCAACCTTTAATTGCTTACAAAAATATTCCATAACTAAGCATTGAAAAAAATATAATATGTAAAATATTAAACACACACCTTTTCATTTAATGATTGCAATTGGCGCATAAAAGCAAAAAAAAAAAACAAAACAAAACAAAACAAACAAATGGATGTTTTCATTGCTTATCCTTGATGCCATTAGCATCATTCACAGCATCATTTATTATTTTTCATGCTTCATCTGTTTACTGTCGTAGATGTCAATCAGAAAAGAATATTATTGGYCCACTAGGCCAAGCCAGTAACGCCAGACAAGATGATCTCTTTAGGCCTTTATCAATTTCATCTACAAGTCAACGCCGAACTGGTTCAGCTAGAATAGTAAACAAAGTCAAATCAGATAAGCTTAATGATGAACAHTTTTTTGAACTTTGATGGTTTCTGGAAATAAGACATTGCTACTGTTGAAGTGTGACCCAAAAAGTTCAACTTATAGTTTTCTATTGACCAGCATAGTAAGCTTTAGTTGAAAGAGAAAGATCACCAAATTATTTTGTACAGAAAAGGGGTAACATGTACGTACATCTGAGCTATTGGCTGACTCCAAATTTATTAGTAAATTAAAGAAGTATTTGACTTTTATGGGTTGCATTTCAATACTGATGTATTTTGTACTTTAATTGAATATWCTGTCTCTGTGAATAACACTTGTTGTTGACAACTTTCAGCATTGAAATGCTTGTCAATGCTAAACAATTTTCTCAATTGAGAAAGGAAAGATAATTTACTAGATGAAAATACCTAAATATGATATGCATGGTATTTACTTAAAACCCACTTGCATTTGAGAAACTTTGCCATTGTTTGCTTTGTTCTAAAAAAGATTTGCTTTTATTGACAAKTTCTTTTYGATTGGATGGAAATCAAAGATGATGATTTTTGGTATATAAGAAAATTGTACAAAGATTCTCGGTGGTGTGTGGGTATTTGAATACTTTAATGTTAAATCTGTTTGAAATGCAATATAGTAATTAATTATTGTCCAGAAAAGATAAATTGATGAAAATATAAGAAGACAGAAAACTACTGAATTTCTTATAACAGAACGTCTGGTTTATTGCTAAGATTTGGCACAGTATATAGGTGAATGAATTTTTCTAGAATAATATATACAAAAATTCCATTAAGAAGCTTTACAAATATTTTTGTATCTATATATTTCACATTGTTTTGATTATTTATAAAATAATTAAGCGAGAATTGATTTTGTGATGTAAGTCCGTGATGGTGAGTGTTATTTCGATAGTGTTGTATATGAAATCTTGATATTATTGGGGCATATGATTGGTTGAATTCATGTCAAAGTCAAAAGTAATGACAGGCTATAGACCTCTGCAGCTTTTACGTCATGTACCGTATACGCAATGCATTGTAGGATATGTTTGGGACAGAACATGGCGGATTTCTTTTGTTTTCTCTTGAAACCAATCCTACAATGCATTGAAAATCAAGTAGTGACATAAAAGGTTCAGAAGTCTATTTAAGCACRGTGTTGTGCAGTTTTAGGGACAGCAAGAATAGTCCATTTCTAATACTCTGACTTTGAATGTCATGCACAAAAAAAATTGAAGATTATCCTCTAGGGAAATAAAAAGATTATCTATTGTTTCATCTGAGACACATCTTCATTTCTTTTGTGGATGGATAGTTATTAGTATGTGAACTATTGACAGAATTTCCTTATGAACCCTAAACTGTTGTCCACCAGGAATGCAGGATAATTTTAACCTTGGTTTTTTGAAAATTTCCTAGGAAAAAGATTAACCAATCACAGCACAGCTGATTWGGTTGACATTAGTTTAATCAAACATAATAAACTGACTTACAGTTTGAATAACCAATTACAGAAGAGCCAGACTTGATTGACAGATAGATMAACCAATCACTATGCAGCATGTTAAAAGATTAGCCAATCAGTCAATGTCATTGATTAATGAATTAATTATTGAATAAATCAATACTTTGATCTACTTAGGGAAAACTCACCTTTAATTCTTTAAAAGTCTGTCAAAAAAAGATGGAAAGAAAACAYGATTGCTTATGTGAAAAGTGATCAAAATCYTGTWTCTCCAGAGGGTAATTTTTTTTCATTCTTGCTGCCAGTATCAATCATTCAATATTAGGTGATGGGTCATCGTGGATTAGCCAACTATGAATAAACAAATCTTTCAAAAGAGCAATGTGTCTTTGTTAAGTTGCTTCTGGCATTGAATACCAAAACGTGTTTTGATAATACAAGCACACCAGGTTTCTCCAATAACAAAAGTGATCCCTCAACCAAGACTACATGTTCATAAGGTGATTCAAACATCTTTTGATCGTATCTCTGTGAATTGTAATTATTTAATAAATCAAGGTTCATTTCTAGATGTTAACAACGATATCGTGTCAATTAAACAATTAACTTTTTTATTAGTCCTCTTCACTTTAGATCTGATCTGCATACTTGTTAACAATGCTTTCAACGCTTGTTGATTCCATGGTCTTCAACATGCATAAACCAATGTACAAGACTACTATTACATTGAATCTAACCTACATAGTCTACATATTTATTTATTTGCCGATTATAAGGATATATAAATGTACTTTGGTTAACCCTTCTTTTCGTTAGCATCATAAATATTCATAAGTTGCATAATTTGTCACAGATAATTGACTCCTCAAACAAGCCCTCCATATTCACTTAATTACTAAAAGTGTGCAGAGAACGTTRGTATACATGCTTGAACAGAATGTTTGTTCTGCCTGTGTTGATTTCTTCAGCTAACTCTTAGAAGCACGTCAACTGTTACATAAACWGAACAGTCAAAGATCTGGGGATTGAGGAAAGGTAATTGACGCTATTAGTGGCGCAGTTATATATAGATCTTTGTGGTTTAGTTAGAGGTTCACGTCGTATTATCCTCGCATTAAAGAGATTTAGATTCACTTAACGGCAAATGACTAACGTCAAATTGGATTTTAAGCCTTTCTTTTRATCATTTCAATCAAACGTGAAAACGCTTCAAACGGAAAAGTGATGAGCACATGGACGAGAAAATATTGAATTTATTTACTAAAGCAAAATAACGCAGTGTTAATACAGAAAAACACTCATCACGTGATTAGTTTCGCCGTACCTGGTCGAACATACCATGCCGGCAAAAGAACCATGAGCAGCTTTACAAGTAATGCAGAGCTAAAAATGTTCGCGATAATAATCGCAGTTGAGTTTACTTGAATGCGTTGTGGTTGAAATGATCACTGGATTTGTGGGAGAAACAGTATCCAGAAGATTTCTAATGGTTGCGGTAGACTTGCGTCGTCGTTTATATACTCACTTAGTTTATGAGTTTCCATGAATCAATTGCCACTTATTCATCCATTCATTTTTGTACCACCCATCAATATATCCAATTCAATCACTTTTTCACTGTTATTGCTGTAGTAGTTACTGTTGTTGTTGTTGTTGTTGCTGTTGCTGTTGTTGCTGTGATTTTGCTTTGACCGCCCTTGCTTTCTTGGGAGGCAGAGGTAGTAGTGTATCTTGTCTTGTTACCATGGAAGGATGTCATGAAATACTTTTCTAATCATCGTTATTTATTGTCATTTTATCCAATGTAGGTATTTGAATTTAAATTGCTTCTATCTCAACAAAGCGCACATTAAACAAGCTGGTCAAGAAGTAGGGATGCCCGGTAGTTTTTATGGGGCTGCTCTAACAGTCGGAATTGTGTTGTCATTTTACACTGTAAAAGACTTGACACTAGGTGAACAAGTCGAGAAAACCCAACAGGAACGATTACTGATTAAACCAAAAGAGCATTCAAAGCTCCTTGGAGAACACGGGTCTCCAATAATACATGACGAGGTCGAAGAAGTGGAATTTGTCCCCAATGGACGCGATTTTTACCAACATTTCGCCAGAAAAAGAAAGCCGCTTGTTATGAGAGGAGCCATCAAACAATGGCCGGCTGTCAAACACTGGGCCAATGAATCATACCTAAGAGAAAACTACGGCGAAACAATTTTCAACATCCAGAAAACGAAGAAGTATGAAAGCAAATACCCTGTTATGAGAACAATGACTTTGAATGAATACCTTGACATCTACAAAACCGAAAATGTCTACCTAGACTGTCCTTTCCCGCAAAGTAACATGACTCAAGACATCCTAGTACCCTATTGTCTACAATGCGATGAATTCAAAGACTCCATTACTAGTACACATCTACTATTCAGTAGTGGTAATACAAGCTCTAGTTTACATTTTGACAACACAGAAAATCTTTTGAGTGTTATCTCGGGAACAAAGGAAGTGTTATTGGCTAGCTACACGTATATAAATCATTTCTACCTGGACAATGCTACCACCGTGRGCGTGGAATCTCCAGTAATACCAGAAGCAGTAGATCTCTTACGTTATCCAAAACTTACAAAAGTACCATTCCACAAGGTGAGTTGTCAGTTATGATTGTTTTTCATCAATTCTCATTGTAAACATTGCAATTATAGCTTACTTCCGTGTCGACTACGACTCACTATTCAACATCTACTTCCGGGTGTAAYCTAAGTGATTTTAGAGGTCGGTTTTCGGTATTGCTCTCATCATTTGCCTATTTTGCAGCGCAGTWTACGGTTTCAATGCACTTTTAATGTGCGTATTTTAGTTTCTTAAAAGGCCCCCTATATACCGCCTCTACTATAACAAAGAGCGACAGGGAGTTTAAGTCAATTTTATCTGTGAAAGAAACGACTAAAGAAGAGTTCCACACTGTGTCCTCTGACGTCGGGTCGTATAAATAAACAAACCATGCAGCSGAAACCGAAAAATACCATGAAAAAGAAGTMAATACGAAAAGAAGCACTAAGAAGGTACTTATATGATTTCCGTASCTACATCCCACATGGCTTAGTGAAGATCTCCTCGTATCAGATTCATTGTGGGTTTAGCGTATCTATYTCCGTATTGTCTACTGAAAAGAGAAKTAGCACAAGCTGCTATTTATTMAAAAAAAAGCATTTACTGAAAAGCAAAACTCTGAAGACGTTTAACTGAAGTTTCTTCYATGTCAAGTAGCTTTGATCAGTTCAATTGGCGAAACGGCGAAAAATATTACCGAGGACAAACTACATATGCAAATAAGAAAAACTTATGACTTCCTTGACAAGGACAATGTCTTAGCCTAATGGAAGTCAAACGTAATACAATAAAAGAAAAGGAATTATAGTTTGAAAATTGACATTTAATTTCAATATTTGATTGACGTGCTGGGTGTGGACTGTATAAGCTAAAACTGTGGGTATATCTCTWCTGAGCAATCATTATAACTGAAATAATACTATTCAAACCTTTCAGTTGCTTGAGTCACACAATGCGTTGTTGTTATTGCGCGCTGTTTTATTATTGACTAATGTGTTATCAAGTTATCGGCCTACACATTCAGATGTGCGTATTTGCATAAAACATCTATCCTCTCATTTCGCAGGTGTCAATTCTTGAATAGATCTCCACAATATAAAGACATCGAAATACAAACTTGAATACATTAATTCTAATTCTACTGTTCCTTGGGGCATACGGAATTCCCAAGGAACGATTCGGAAAGAAAAACATTCAGTGTTGTTTTCAAAGGAAATATGTCGAAGAACGCATATTTTCTTGTCGCTGTAGTTGTTGCAATTTTTGCCGTTGCTTTATATTTGACAATTCAAAAACAGCCGTTAGAAAACGACCATCACAAGCCGAATGCTGARCGTGGTGATGTCTCAGAGAAAAGAACGGTACAAGATAAGCAAGACAATAGAAAAGAGAGCAAGAATGAAGAGAATACAATGAAAAATGAAAAACAAAACGACAAGARAGATTCAACAGGGAAAAAAGAAGAACAACCCAAGATACCAAAAGGTCACATGAAGTACCTAGGTGATCATGGATCACCGATCAAACATGGACAGGTTGAAGAAGTGGAATTTGTCCCCAATGGACGCGATTTTTACCAACATTTCGCCAGAAAAAGAAAGCCGCTAGTTATGAGAGGAGCCATCAAACAATGGCCGGCTGTCAAACACTGGGCCAATGAATCATACTTAAGAGAAAACTACGGCGAAACAGTATTCGACATTCAATTCTCAAAAAAATATGAAACAATTTTACCCATTAAAAAAACAATGACTTTGAATGAATACCTTGACATCTACAAAACCGAAAATGTCTACCTAGACTGTCCTTTCCCGCAAAGTAACATGACTCAAGACATCCTAGTACCCTATTGTCTACARTGCGATGAATTCAAAGACTCCATTACTAGTACACATYTACTATTTAGCAATGGAAATACAAGCTCTAGTCTACAYTTCGATGGCTATGAGAATCTTTTAAGCGTGATTGCTGGGACTAAAGAAGTGCTTGTTGCGAATTACACCGATTCGCACTATTTTTATGCCGAAAATTTTACAACGGTGAATATCGAAGCTCCAATCGATCCTGAAGCTGTCGATCTCGTTCGATTCCCAAAGCTCGCAGAAGTAACGTTTCATAAGGTTAGTTTTATCGTCAGTCACTTTATTAAATATCGTCTTGAGCTTAGAAGCTAAAAACATGATTTTTTACATGATAAACTTTTCCCTTCATTTTTTCCCTTTTTTGCCCTAGTTTCCGGTACTGCTCAATTTATTGTAGGAACGCCTGACTGAAAGCGTCTTGCAAAAGGTTCAGTAGAAGGACACGTATAGTATCTACAATGGCTCTTTCATCTCCTTTGAGTTATTGTTGCGCCTGGATTACGAGTGCCAACTAATATTTAGGTTGCTAAAGTAGTTCATTGTCCGTGGAAAGTATATTAATGTAAATATTTTGCTACTGGATAGCTGAGCATCTGCGGTTCTTGATCAATCGGCACAAATTTTGATTGAATGTTCATTTTAAAATGGCAAAAGCAGCTTACTTTGTTGTTGCTGTTGTCGTTGGACTCATTGCAATTGCTGGTTACTTTATTGTGCGACAAGAAGGAAGCTTAGAAGAGCTGAAATCAGACAAATCTCACAGTAAGCAGGATGACATGAGTGCAGATCAAGACACAACAACATTACATGCACAAAGTGATGAACTTAATAACAAACCTCCACCAGGACATTTGAAGAAACTTGGAGAACATGGTTCRCCAGTAATCACAAGGCATTTTGAAGAGATTGATTATACTTTGAATGGAAAAGACTTTTACTCTCATTTTATACGAAAGCGAGTTCCGTTGATAATGCGAGGTGCTACCAGAAACTGGCCAGCCTTTCATCACTGGCAAAATAAAACATACTTGATAGAAAAATACGGACAGCAGGCTTTCCGTGTAGAATCCACCAAAAAGTATGAAGATGGACCTCCAATTCATAATATTATGACAATGAAAGAYTTTCTTGATGTTTTTGAACAAAGTGATGTGTATCTAGATTCACCATTCCCACAGAGCACCATGATCAAGGACATTATACTCCCGTCTTGCTTACAATGCAAGGAGCTAAATTCAAACATTTCTAGCATACATYTGTTGTACAGTAGTGGTGGAACAAGCTCAAATTTCCATTACGATGGCAGTGAAAATCTTCTTTCTGTACTCTCTGGGACTAAAGAAGTTCTTCTCTCTCACTATAATAATACCAAGTATTTTAGCAAAAATGGAGAAATGTTTGCTAATGTTGTCTCACCTATAAATCCTGAGGCTGTGGATTTGATTAAATTTCCACATCTTGTTAATGTAACATTTTATAAGGTAAAATAAGGTATTTCTTAAAAACATAGCCATTATTCTCTCCTAGACTTTAAGTAGTTTATTATATCAGAAGATGAAGCTTGGCTCTGATAGATTGTCTTGGCTGTCTGTCATATTCTTAATATTTTTTCTTAGTTCAGTTTATCATCTTCATTTTCAGGTCACCCTTAATGCAGGTGATATCTTATACATACCTGAGGGATGGTGGCATCATGTACGCTCTTTTAATTCTCCTAACATTGCMATTTCATTRTGGTTTGGAATCTTTAAAGAAAAAGAGAATGAAACCTTGGACCTGGAGGTACTCAAAAAACATTGAGAATTATGATTTTAGTCCTACCAATAGACTTCTGTGATCTGTTGATGTAATATTGCAAAATCATAACCATTTAATTTTGTTTAGGATTCACTTGATGCTGTTCAAAGACTGGAATCATTTGGAAAGGCTGTCAAGTCTTCACCAGAAACAATYGAGTGCAAATCACAAAATAGACCAATCTCAGAGGTYTACTGGCCCAAGCAAAATGCTGACACTCCTTACTTGGAAGATCCTGATAGATGGACTGTGACTCTTAACACTGGATACAAGAGTAATGACATTATTAATGTCCAACTGATTGATGAAATCAATATTTCAATTAATTAATCAATCAATTAAAAATTATCAGACATAATAAGTTGTCAATCATTCAATCAACCATGGAACCAGCCACTCAATCAATCAATCAATCAATTAATCTCTTTATTTTAGTGCCAATGAAGGGGTTTGGAGCTGCCTTTCTTAAAAATGCTAAAGATACCATCCTAACTGCACTCAAGGAAGGCTATAGGTAATAAATAAATGTGTTTAGCACAAATGCATGAATATAGTTTACTAGACAATTTCATACCTATTCAGGATGATTGACTCAGCCCAAGCACACATGTATGATGAGAAAGCAGCAGGAGATGCATTGAAAGAAAGTGGTATCCCACGTGAAGATGTTTTCCTTATTTCCAAAGTTCATCCCAAGAACATGGGTTATCATGATACAATCAGAACTGTTGAAGAATCACTTGCAAATTTCCAGGTACTTTAATTTACATTCCATTATTTTTATGAATAATAGATATTATTATTATTAGTTATTGAAGAGATTGATTCCTTCCTCTAGGTGTCGTATATTGATTTGATGTTGATTCATGCTCCTGATTGTGATGATGATCCTGAATTCCTTGGCTGTCGTGCTGGAGAGCCTAGAGGAACGTGGAGAGATTGCTGGAGGGCATTGGAGACTCTTGTTGACAGTGGTTAGTATGTYTGCGTAGGATGTAGCTCCCAATATTACTACCAGTAGTAGTCCATTTCATTGTTCTCTTCATAGTATGGCTCAGTTAAGAGTTTTACTGAGGTATATCAGAGCAGGGATCACAATTTTTTTGAGACTAAAGGATCAGTTTCTAGCCTTGAAAACATGATAACTATTATAGAGATCTGACAAATCACAATTGTTTGCCATGGATTGTCAAGGACCAAAAAAAATTGTTATTTTGAATTTTTTAGGCAAAATCCGCAGTATTGGGGTATCCAACTTTGACGTTGATCTYATGAAAGAGTTGAACAAACTAGCAAGAATCAAGCCATCAGTTGTGCAGAACTTCTTCACTCCTTTCTTYCAAGATAAAGACACAAGAAAACTATGCAAAGAAAATAACATCCAATATATGGGATTTAGGTCAGTGGCATTTCCATCTCATTTCATTTATTCATTCTTGTTTACTTCCTTCCATTTTTTCATTTTTATTCATTCAGTTCACCCATTCATTTTTTTTATTTTCATCTGCAGCACTCTTGGTTCTCAATACACTTATGATTATGGGTTTAATGAAAACCCTGTCATGAATGATAAAGGGATCATCAAAATTGCACAGACATTTGATGCATCAGTTCCCCAGGTTGTSCTGAAGTGGGCACTGGAGAATGATGTTGCAGTAATCCCCAGGTCCAACACTCCAAACCACATCAATACCAACTTTAACCTTCATCATATCTTCCTAAGTGAAAAGGACATGAAATATTTTGATGAACTAGATGGGAAATTCAGTGAAGATGCTAACGACACTAGTGATGAAGGTAAGATTATATAACAGTGATTATATATGTATGGTTTTAAGTGATGTCTATTGCACTCAGTAACTTTGTGCTTTGGAAACACTGGGATGGTCATGACACAATAGTGTAATGGTGTAGAGGCTCGGTTGTTCACTGTTCAATACTGGGTAAAAAACCTATGGTGTTAACTCTGGATTAATGTTAATCGGGCTTTGAACAACCTGGACAATCTTGGCCTTCCTTTGGGTCAGACAGTTTTCTAAAAATTATTTTTAACATTCTTGCTGCKGGGTTTGCAGGCGTTACTTCATCTAATGCACTTTTACAACGTTTTGCAGCAAAACCAGAAGAACAAGTGAAACCGGAACGGGKTAAAACAGACTTGAAGGCACCAGTTAGAGACAAAGAAATCATCGATAAAGTCGTGCTTGAGAAAAAGGTCAGTTCACTTGCGATCACATGAACGAACGATAGGTACTAAAGTATCTTAGTATATATGCGCTAACCATGTTGCAAGATCGTTCCCTCTTGTCTTGATTCATAGAGTGAGATTATGCTACACCTTTTAGGCGTACAGGATCAACCATCATGCGCTTTCCGCTTCTTTCCGCTTCTCTAGTGTGATGTCTGTGGTGCCCAGCCCCTTATTTCCAAACAAATGCACGTCTGTACTCTGAGTAAAATCATGATTCTGCATCAGCACTAATCCCTGCCATTTGATTGACAGGTGAATCCAGATGACGCAACACTTTACGTCAGCTCAGACGATCAGTGGATTTATGCCATTGACGCAGTGTCTGGAAATCTGATGTGGAAGTATGGGACTGGAGAGGATGGAGGGTCCAGATGCGCGTTCAGTCCAGATGAAACGRCATTGTACTGTGGTACCGATGACAAACATATGCGYGCTTTTAATCGTTTAGATGGTACCCTTTTATGGAAGTATGCAGTTGATAAGGCCATTGTATCGTCTACTCGTGTGRGGACTGATGGGACATTATATTTTGGTTGTTTGGATGGCTTTATGTATGCTCTCAAACCAGATGGCTCTCTGAAATGGCGAACAGACTTAAAGGAGCAGGTAAAATCATAAAACAAGTTGCGTTGGTCTTGGTCTAACCGTTTTCACTAATAAAAGATATCGCACTGGAATGTCTCCGCATTGCCGAGAGTACAGTAAATGTTCTGTTCTGACGTTACGATATAATTGTTATGATTATGATTTTGACAATCGTAATCACTATTTCTTTCTAATCAGATATGGTCTTCACCAGTTCTYAAGGATGGTGGACGTGTACTGTTTGTTGGGTCAATGACGGAAGATTCTCCCAACGTGTATGCTTTGAACGGTGATAGTGGTGAAATCATATGGCARTATAAAACATCGGGACCAGTGTTCTCTTCTCCTGCGCTAAGCGAAGATGAAAAAGTCATGTACATATGTTCTTTCGACGGAAACTGTTACGCTTTTGATAGTGACAGTGGCAAGGTTTTGTGGACTTTTGAAGGTGATTCAGCATTCCAGTCGTCGCCTGTTGTAAGTCATTCATATCAACAGTTTTACGTGGCCTCAACTACTGGGACGGTATATGCTGTTAATGTCATCAACGGATCACTTGTCTGGGCACACCAATGTAAGTAGTAATTTGACCGGACCCCAAATATTGATACATTCGTAGTGACCAGCGTTACTTGAGTCATCATCATCATCATCATCAACATCATCATCATCGTTATAATTTTTCATTAAGAACCTATAGGCGTAAAATGTTGGGAAAAGAAACAAAAGTAAAAAATAATCAAGTCACAAATCATTTTCCTGTTTTTGTAATCTTTTAAGCTCCTGAGCTTGGGGTTCCTGTGCCACTTTTGTGTTATACATCAAAACTTGCAAAATGCTATTTTTTTAGTGATTTTTATAACCGATGAAACCAAACCAAATTGAAAGTATTTACAATATGCAGATAAAAACGAAACGTATGTCTTAATGCTCTAAAAATCGACTTTATGGATTGTTTCGATCGTTATCATTTCGATAGGAAGACTGTATATACCTTATTTTAAACGTTCGATGATATTACTATTCTCTTATAAATATATGACATATATTTTAGCAATCTTGAGGGTGCATTCTATCGATGTGACAACATTTTCTATACACATCAATAAATCTTCTCTTTGGAACAACCGAGCGGCTCGGTGGCGCGCCGTGATCGTCTAGTGGTTAGGACATTGCGTTGTGGCCGCAATAACCCAGGTTCGAATCCTGGTCACGGCAAATATTTTTTTCGGTTATTTCCATTATTTTAGTCGGTGATTTTTCTTTTTTCTTACGTTTTTATTCATGAAGTTAGTTTTATGTAAGATTTGTAGGATTATAATTATAGTTGATGAAATAAAATATACTTATTATATATTCAAAATGGCAGATGTTATCCTGTCCTCCCGGGAGGGAGGAATCATTTCAAATTTATTGTAAAAATAGAAAGATATATATCTCCAGAAGAAGGATATCTATCTTTATAGATCTTTATAGCTATTTTAAAATTAATATAAAAAATGTTCTAAATCGCATATAACACAGGAAGCCCATTTTATCTATTTTGTTTTTAGTTTTTCTTTTCTTCACTGTTCTCTTTGTGTGTAGGGTAGACTTGCAAAAAAATATTTATCATTGTTAAAATTGAGTAATTTATCCATTAATCCATTAATTTTTCCATTACATCGATAAGTATTTTTTGGATTCAGTTATTATTTCCTTTTTTTCATTTTCTTTTTTAAAGATTTATACCAATTCTCTTTTTATAATTTTTAACTTGTACATCAAAATGAAGTTTGATTTACTATATATTATTTTGTACATTAAAATCATTTTTTCCTTCTGTTGTATTAGTTACTATTTTGTTATTGTTTATTAATTAATCAGTTGATTTCTCATTAATGTCTCATAATATGTTAACCGCAAATTGATTGGATATCAAATTAATTTAATTTTGCAGTTATTTCTCATTTCATTTATTTTCTATTTCTCTTTTCTCAGCAAAAGGAGAGTTCTTCTCTTCGGCCTTCCCCTCTGACAACGGCAATGTCTATATTGGTTCTGGGGATGGAGAAGTGTTAGCTCTTACCCAAAATAAAGGTGAACTTCGCTGGAGATTTGAGACTCAAACCACCGATACTTTGTACTCCACTCCAAGAATGACCAAAGATGGAGTCCTGTACATTGGTGGGATTGATGGGTATTTGTATGCGCTCAACTCTGATACTGGAGATGTAGTGTGGAAGTTCAAAACGAATGGTCCTCTAGTCGGAACAGTTCGTATTCCGCTAAAACACGATAAACCAATAGTTTAAACAAAAAGTCATTGAAGATTAGTTCTTGGTCGACAAAGTCTTTCAGAGTGAAAAGTCGGACGATTGTTTTAAAGCCAATTCTGAAAAAACAAGCTTAATTACACATGAGATTTCATTATTTAGTGACCTTCATGGCAACAAAATCGATAACGATGATAGTGATGAGACCTCTTTATCTTCCTTTTACGGACACTTCACTTTGAGTTGGAACGTCAAATTATTGGTTTTAACTTAATAAGTAAAATCTCTTATATATTTTAGTTAAGAATATTAAATATATCTAAAATTAGTTTTGATAAAGATAAAAAATGTCAATCAGAGAAAATAAACTATTGCTATTCTCATTAATTTAGATTCCTTTATTATCATTTCAAATTATTATTCTCTCGGGTAAATAATCAGTTTTACTTTTGTAAGTTTTCTCCAATGATAGATAGTCGCCTACCGGGTCTGTAAGTGCTGTGAAGAAACGATTCGGCTGTAAGTTCAAAACTATAAGCACAACGTTGTCTCCAATCAGTCAAATCGCATTGCAAACTTAGTTATCAGTCGTTTCAAAAGCGATTCATGATTTATGTTCCAATGGTAGTGCTCTACATTCAAAGCT